GTTATGCAACAGCCTCTGTTTGCTGTTTTCTGAAAGACAGTATTTTTGGAGAAAGAAGTGCTATATTTTTATTTCTTGCTTGTATATATATAGGAATACAAATAGAAGCAGATTATTTCAACTAACTGATCAAATTAGAAAGCTCGAAATTCATGCATGCACGTTGCATGATGTTTTCGTATCCTACCGTGAAACAACTTCACGGTACATTTGAACTAAAATTGAAACTAAACAGATAAAAAAAATATTAAATTTAACACTAACTAATGAAGAGAAGCAGAAGCTGGCCAGTAAGCATATATATATATTTACATATATAATTTATGTTCAACAATTGGAATTTGGTAATATAAGTACATGCATGTGTATATATATATATACTTTTGACTATATAATATAAACATATATATGAATTGCAGGTATTCAGAATGTCGTAGCTGTTCTGCCCAGCAGAAAGTTTCAACTTCAGACCACTAGATCATGGGATTTTTTGGGTTTGTCCACCACTGTAAAACGGATTTCCCAGGTCGAGAGTAATCTGATTGTCGGGGTATTAGACAGCGGAATATGGCCAGGATTAGAGAGTTTCCGAGAAGAAGGATTAGGTCCTCCTCCAAAAAACTGGAAGGGCGCCTGCCACAACATAACCTGCAACAAGTAAATTCTTACATGAACAAATTATCCATTTTCAAGCATGACAATATTATCAAATTAATGTAACTAAAGTGAAATTAATACTGAAAGAGAAAACATAAAGAATTTTTATGATAATGCTCTCATATACTTGAACCGGGTTAATGTGTTATCCAAAACCTATTTTTGGACTGTAAATTCTCTGAATATGAGCTACGAATCGATAGTTTTTCATTGATTAAAATTGCAGCAAAATAATAGGAGCAAGGTCGTACTACACCGGAGACCAACCTCTTGATGAGGAAATATCTGTGATTGATATTGATGGACATGGGACACATACAGCATCCACTGTTGTAGGCATGGAGGTGGAGAATGCAAGTTTATTCGGATTGGCAAAAGGAACTGCCAGAGGTGGAGTTCCTTCCGCCAGGATAGCGGCATACAAGGTTTGCTGGACGACAATTGTGGGAGACACATGTCAAGAACAAGATCTTCTGGCGGCTTTCCAGGATGCTATCAAAGATGGAGTTGACATGTTATCAGTTTCCATCGGTTCAAATGTGACTAACCAATACCCTGTTGATGGCCTTGCAATAGGATCTTTTCGAGCAATGAAGTGGGGGATACTGACATCTGCAGCAGCAGAGAATTATGGGCCACATCCTTCTACAGTCACAAATGGTGCACCATGGATTTTGACAGTTGGAGCTAGCAGCATTGATAGAAAGCTTCTGGCGAAGTTAGAGCTCGGCAATGGACAAACATTCATGGTAATTACTTCAACTTATATTTCATGGTTGGTACTTCTCTTCCTCAATAAAAGATTATGTCTGAGAGTCACGCTATGTTTAATGTTTATGACATTCTGAACCAGGGAGATTCAATCAATTTCTTCCCGACTCAAAGATCTTTCTACCCAATTCAGCTAGGAGAAGATGACAATAAAAAAAATTCTGATTAACAATTCGACTAAAAGAAAGAATGTGGTTTTTAAATCAGTCAAATCGGCACTGCTTGCAATTAAAGTTGGTGCCCAAGGAGTAATCTGGGATGCAGATGAAGTATTTGTATCACAATCATGCTAACTTCCTTTACCCGGTGCCTGTCTCAATACAAATGCAATTGACAAAGTGAAGAAATATGTGATTAAAACCAAGTAAGAACCCTTAATTTGTGTACATAAAGCATGTCTTGGATATATTATGTAATTTTTCCCCAGAAACAAATTAAAGAGAGTTCTTGGTGTATGCTTGATATGAACAGAGATCCCCTTGGAAAAATATATAAAAGCATAAGCGTTCATGATCCAACAGCTCCATTAGTAGCCTCCTTCTCTGGCAGAGGACCAGCTGAAGTTACTCCAGACATTCTTAAGGTAATATACAGTTTATATATGCTTAAAATTAGGACAGATTTCATCCGCATCAAGAGTATATTTTGTTTTTGCAGCCTGACATTACTGCTCCTGGAGTTGATATCTTGGCAGCATATTCACTGAAAGCACATCCAACACCTTTCCCAAATGACAAACGCCATTCACCATTCAATTTCGTCTCTGGAACTTCCATGGCATGTCCTCATGCAACAGGAGTTGCTCTTTATGTTAAGACCTTTCATCCTTCATGGTCTCCTTCTGCCATTAAATCTGCTTTAATGACAACAGGTGCTACCCTTGTTTAACCAAGAACAATTATATACAGATATATATACATATATAATTTTTATGTATTTCGATGAGTTAATTAATTTTTCTTTCCCAGCATCTCCCATTAATTCCAAAGAAAACCCAGATGCTGAATTTTCGTACGGATCCGGCCACATAAATCCATTGAAAGCACTTAATCCAGGCCTGGTTTATAACACAACAGAGATGGACTATGTAAACTTCTTGTGCAATGAACTCCCTCCCATACTGGTGAAGCTCATTTCTGGAGATGATGTTGTCAACTGCTCAAACAGTATCAATGCTTATGAGCTGAACTACCCTACAATGTCTGCAAATGTAGAACCAACGAAGCCTTTCACTGTGAAATTTCCAAGGACGGTGACAAATGTAGGACGGCATAATTCAGTTTACAAAGCGATGTCCAGTCACCTTCTCGTGTCAGCGTCAGTGTTAATCCGAATGTCTTGGCATTCAATCCCTGGAGCAGGAATTGAAATTCCAAGTGAAAGTTTCTGGTGGGAAACTTGAAGCTGGTGAAAAAATCTCTGCCTCACTTGTGTGGTCAGATGGAAAGCACAGTGTTAGAAGTCCTATATTTATATATGCTTAATATTTTTCAACCAGTTCTATTATCATTATGGATGATTAAGAAATTGAAGTAAGATCATTCATGTGGTCAGAGAAATGCAGACTGTGAGGAGTCGTATAATGTTGTTTGTGAAGGTGATATGTGCCTAATGTTTTTCAAGCACTTGTATGGGTGATTGAGAAATTTGATGTAAAAAAAGCTTAATAGGTAACATCCACTATTAGATGATAATAAGTAGAAATAAAATCTTGTTCCTCTTCATTATTGAATCAATTATTGTTCTCATAGAATGTAAAACAAAAAAACATAAGAACAAAAGTCTCGTTCTAATAATACAATGTGGAATTTTCCAACTTTTGTCTGATATTCCTCGAATGAGTACATATGTATGTTTGTATGTATGTATGTTTGTATGTATGATCGTTTTCAATGAACTTTTTTAAATGAGGGAATTATTGAGTGATGTTGTAAGATTATCATATGAGAGTAAAACAAAATCATTGATCTATTTGATGAATAATATATCACTAGAAATTATTTTATAAATTTAAATAGCATTTTATTCGTATGTCAATAATTAAATTTAAATTTAATGGGTTGAATATAAATTAAAAAAAAAATACTAGTTCTAAATCTTCTTTTGAAATTGAGTATAGGACTTTAGCTATTGTCACTTTTGAATTACAATGACTGAAGTATTTACTTGATGGTTTATATATTCTTTTCATTTATATTGTGATAATTTGTTTCTCGTTATAATTGCAGAAAATTATATCTTTCATAAACGGAATAAACATAAAAATTGATTATCATTTTATTTAGAGAAAAGCTTTATGAAAGTCTCATTCATTCATTACTAGTTCCCTCTCAACATCAGTTAGTAAATTATTTTATTTAAGATTTAGTTACTTCACTGTTTCTGAATGCTATGTTCAAGCTGAGTATACAAAAATTGTATACTTCACATTGAGGAGGGTTATTAGAATAGTTAACAAGTTCTGTTAAGGTTATAATATATTCTTTAAGAATCAGTTGGGTTATTAAGACGAAACCTCTTAGAATTTGAGTAAATAAAAGACTATCTCAAGCTTCCGCTATTTCTATTCTTGTTTTTTCTTATCTTTTGTATTGTTTTATTATATGGTTATAATTACTTTAATATGTTGAGTATTATTTATAAATAGTTTAACGTTTGAGTTTGATTTGTAAATATTAAAAGTTTTTTTTCTCTTTCTATTAGATACCGACACCCCTCATTAATAAAATATCTCAAAGTTTTATTTTTTAATTTTCAATTATCAATTCTCTCTCACTCTCTCTCTCTCTCTCTCTTAGTTCTAGAGAGTTTTTATCGCTCTTTGTAAATTTGTCCAAATCATCCTGAGTTTTTTATCTTGTTTTGCTTGCATTTAATTCATTTTGCCAATTCATGAAATTCAACACACCATTCGCAATTCTCTTCTTTGCTGTTTATTTTCTTCCTTGTGCAAGCAGTTCTCAATATTAAATTAATGAGCTAAATCAAATGCTATCATGAGTAGAGACATTGTCCAATCTGAAATTACCTCAATAATACAAAAAATATCAAGTAGTGTAAAAAAATTCATATTTTTTGAGTAAAAATTTATATGTATATCAACAAATAATATATAAATACAAATAATAATATAACAAAGATGACCTTCAAACAAAAATAACTAATCTCATATTGATTGCAGCTAGACCAACCAACGAAGAGAACCAAAAGTTGGTCCGTCAGCATGTACGTGATTTATGCTTAACATTTGCATTTTGGTAAAATATTCACATGCATGTATGCACATATATGATACCGTAATAAAATATGGAGTTCACTCTTTCGCTGCTTGATTCCAGACCTATTATGATGGCATACCTTGTCAGGATGAAACATTTCATTTTTTTTGCTATTACTCGAACTGAAACCTGTAATATGTTCTTACTTCTTCGTCCGTTTTTAACAAAATAATGACTACAGATAATACATACATGAATTGAAGATGTGAAAAATACTGTGGCTGTTTTGCCTAGCAGGAGTTTTAAGCTTCAGACTAGTAGATCATGACATTTTTTCTGGGTTCTTCAACACTGTAAAATGATTTGTCAGACGGGAGAATAATCTAATTTTTGGGATCTTGGACACCAGAATCTGGCCGGGATTAAAAGAGTATTTGAGACGAAGGACTGGTCCCATAATCTAGTTGTCTGAAGCTGAAATCTTCTGCTTGGAAAAACAGCCACAACATTCTTCACACCTGCAATATTTCATATGTATTATATACAGGCAAAAAATGTCAATAATCATATGTGCTCTATAAAAGCTAAGAAAGAATAAGAGTAAAAAAAAATAGGCTTTGTCACACGTTTGGAAATGTGTTGTTATTTACAATTAAGCCAATTAATTTTATGTTTTTTTTTTTTTTTCTTTTAATTTTTGAGTTGGGTATCAACGCTTGTTATTGTTTACCTATTTTAATAAAATGAATTGGAATAACAATTGAAGGGCTGCTTGTGTTTCTTAAGCACCTTTTATTGAACTATTGCACCCTACTCCATAATCTTAACAAAAGTTCATATTTAAAGTTGAAACAAATTATTTTAGATTTTGTATAAAAAAAAAAAAAATTTAATTAATTTAGAAAGTGATGGGACGTGAAGATAATCTCAATCCAGAAACCCTAACAAGGTTTGGTTTTGTACAAGAGAAATAATATGGCTACAAATGAAACTTTTATAAATATCAGAAACAAATATCTTCAGTGTCTGGACTAAATACTTCAAAACCTGGTCCAACAAGCATCTTTGGTACTTTGTCAGGGAAAGCACCCAAAAATGTTTCGTCTCCGTTCTAAGTTCCACATCCAATCATCATCCACCCATGATCCAGAAGAAGATATAACACCCACAAGCCAAATAACATATAGATTATATACACACACACACACACACACACAAGTAAAAGTAAATTAACTCATTACTATGACAATAAATTTATAATGATCAAATTGAACTTCGTGTGGCCTTAAAATACAAAAGAGATTTTACTACGTGGTAGTAAAGTGGGTGATATCATTCATCTTATATAGTGGAACATGCGCCTTAAAACCGGGTGGTATCAATCATTTGGTAGGTAAGATGGAATTAAAAGTTTTGGGACAGACGAACAATATAATAGTGGTGGAGTTTGGAGTTGGGGCCGAGCAAAATGGTTGCCGGCTCAGTTCAGTCATTGTCTGATGGAGGTGAACTTTTAGAGTTGCTGGGGTTTGGGAGGTCATTAGTCTTCTTCCAACCTCCTACCTAGTTTTCCCAGTGCGGTATAAAAAATTGAATCGTTGGTTTTCAACAAAATTGGTTAAACCAGATTACTTTAATTTTTACTAAAATTTGATTAAATTTTGTTTCTAAATTTGTGGGATACGAATAGACTGATTTAATATATTTTGAATAATGATATAATATAATATATTATATACTACTATATATCACAAAATATATACTACATACAATACAATATGTAAAAATATGTGCTGTATATAATATAATATAATATATTAAAATCTAAAATTAAGAAAACAAAAATTTAAGTTAATTTTCAATTATTTGATTATTAATCAAACCGATCAAGATTATTTGATCAGTTTAATTAAATCAATTTAATTGATATAACCATCCTATATCTAATCACTATGCAGCATTATAAATCCTTAGCACATGAATGAATGAAGTCTATCATTTACTGTTCGGTATTATATTTTTATACACTATAGTAATATTTAAATATGTGAAGTTAGATAGAAAATAATATAAATATATATACAGCTCAAAAGTACACCAACTAAATATTAATCATAATTTTAAAAAATAAAAATAATTAATTTATTTAATTTAAGTCATGAAAATTATAATAATAAGCCTTAAGGGAAAAACTAAGATCTTTTAAGTCGTAATAAAATAAAAATTAGATTTTGATGTCATTTTTATATTAATCATGTAAGAGAAATCACCTTTGGTATTTAAAAAATTATTAAAAGATTAATAACGTATTAATATAATTTGGTAATTTCCTTAAAGTTTTATAGCCACATATAGTGGTGAAAAGCTATCTAAATTTGCTTAGCCTGAAAAACCCATATATATACTATATGTACAATTTTTTATTTTTATTTTTATTTTTTACCAATAGATTTATATAAAAAAAATCCCATATATTTGGTGTGTGTACAGTTTTTTTTTTTTTTAAATTTCTTTTAACCAAGAAATCTTGAAAAAAAAATTAGATTCAGAGATAATAAACATAATTATATTTATTATTTATTATTTTCTCAATTATGCTCTCACCTCAATTTGAATTCGCAGATAGAAAAAATGGGAACGAATTAAATTCAAACAAGTTGAATTGAAAAGGTTGAAATATAAAATATATTAATTTACTGCATTAAAAAATCTAAAAAAATATTTAATTATCATATAAAAATAAATTCTGAAAAAAAAGTAGCCTTATATAGTGGGCAAAAAACGTTAACATTACGAACGTGATCGTCCCCATTGCCATCTCAATAATTTTCTATTTGTTTATGTACATATACATATACATATATATATGAACTTTGTGAAGCGTTTTGTGAAGATATGAGTCAATGAGGTAATAAGCTGGCGTAAGTGTACGGAATCAGGACAAGCAAAGGAGGCTGCCCATAAATGGAGCTCACCAGGAACAGTATTTCAGCAAACATCTCAAACTCAACAATGGCATGCAGATGTTTACTTCTGCCGCTCGCATTCTTCTTCTTCTTCTTCTTCGTCTTTCCAGCAGACGCAGAAAGTCCTCGACAGGTTGTCTGAGAATTCTCATTACACATATATGTACAATATTACATACAATATGTAAAGACAGGTTGGTTAATTATATGTACGTGTCACAGGTCTATATTGTCTATACAGATGGTGGGTCTGCTGGTAAGTATGCAACCAGCTCCGCTCATTTGGAAATTCTTGAGCAAGTTCTTGAGGACAGGTATTACGTAAAAACGATTAATTAATGGCGATTTACTTTGTTAATTGCTAATTTGAAGAAACAATTTTGGCAAATTTCATGGGTTTGAATAAAATTGTCGCAGTAATGAGGCTTCGGAATCTCATATTTATAGCTACAACGAGATATTCACTGGATTTGCAGCTAGACTAACCAATGCAGAGAAACAGAAGCTGGCCAGTAAGCATATATATATATATATATCATATATAATTTAAGTTTAACAATTGGAATTTGATAATATAAGTCGAGCATATGTATCAATGATCACATAATAAGCTCTGGAGTTACAGCTACGCTCTTTTTCTTTTGCTATCATTGGAACAGAAATCTTCACTCTGTTTTTCCTCTGTTTTTACAGAGTACTGACATTCTTCCCACTACAAAATATAAATATACATATATGAATTGCAGGTGCGCAGAATGTTGTGGCTGTTTTGCCAAGCAGAAAATTTCAACTTCAGACTACTAGATCATGGGATTTTCTGGGGTTGTCCACCACTGTAAAACGGATTTCCCAGGTTGAAAGTAATCTGATTGTTGGAGTTTTAGACACCGGAATCTGGCCAGGATTAGAGAGTTTCCGAGATGATGGATTAGGTCCTCCTCCAAAAAAATGGAAGGGGGTCTGCCACAACATAACCTGCAACAAGTAATTCTTACAAACGCAAATTATCCATTTCTCAAGCATGACTTAATTATCATATTACTGCAACTAAAGTAAAATTAATACAGAAAGAGAGAACTTAAAGAAATTTTACGATAATGGGCGATCAGAAACCTATTTTTGGACTGTAAATTCTCTGAATATGAGCTACGAATCGAGAGTTTCTTGTTGACGAAAATTGCAGCAAAATAATAGGAGGAAGGTCGTACTACACCGGAGACCAACCTCTTGCTGAGGAAAGATCTGTGATTGATACTGATGGACATGGGACACATACAGCCTCAACTGTTGCAGGCATGGAGGTGGGGAATGCAGGTTTTTTTGGATTGGCAAAAGGAACTGCCAGAGGTGGAGTTCCTTCGGCCAGGATAGCAGCCTACAAGGTTTGCTGGAAGACAATTGCAGGAGCCACATGTGAAGAACAAGATCTTCTGGCGGCTTTCGAGGATGCTATCAAGGATGGAGTTGACATGTTATCAGTTTCCATAGGTTCAAATGAGACTAAAGAATACCCTATTGATGGCCTTGCAGTAGGATCTTTTCGAGCAATGAAGAAGGGGATACTGACATCTGCAGCAGCAGGGAATTATGGGCCACATCCTTCTACAGTCACAAATGGTGCACCATGGATTTTGACAGTTGGAGCTAGCAGCATTGATAGAAAGCTTCTGGCGAAGCTTGAGCTCGGAAATGGGCAAACGTTCATGGTTGGTACTTCTCTTCCTCAATAAAAGATTGTGTTAGAATCACGTTATTTTTAATGTTTTTGTGACCTTCTGAACCAGGGAGATACAATCAATGGCTTCCCAACTCAAAGATCTTTCTACCCAATTCAGCTAGGAGAAGACGACAATCAAAACGTTCTGATTAATAATTCAACAAAAAGAAAGAATGTGGTTTTTAAATCAGTCAAATCGGCACTGCTTGCAATTAAAGTTGGTGTTCGAGGAGTAATCTGGGATGCAGAAGAATTATTCGTATCACAAGCATGCCAACTTCCTTTACCAGGTGCCTGTCTGAATACAAGTGCAGTTGACAAAGTGAAGAAATATGTGATTACAACCAAGTAAGAACCCTTAATAAGTGTTTATATAGCATGTCTTGAACACATTACATAATTTTTCCCCAAAAACAAATTAAAGAGAGTTCTTGGTATATGTTTGATTCGAACAGTAATCCAGTGGGGAAAATATATAAAAGCATAAGCGTTCATGATCCAACAGCTCCACTAGTAGCGACCTTCTCTGGCAGAGGACCAGTTGAAGTTGCTCCAGACATTCTTAAGGTAATATACAGTTTATATATGCTTAAAAGTAGAACCAAATATCTACCAAGAGTATATTTGGTTTAATCTATACATAATTAATGAATCCTAGTACATTAATATTTGCTTTTTGCAGCCAGACATTACTGCTCCTGGGGTTGATATCTTGGCTGCATATTCTCTGAAAGCCACTTCAACACCTTTTCCAGATGAAAAACGCCATGCACCATTCAACATCATCTCTGGAACTTCAATGGCATGCCCTCATGCAACAGGAGCTGCTCTTTATGTTAAAACATTTCACACTTCATGGTCGCCCTCTGCCATTAAATCTGCTCTAATGACAACAGGTTAGAAGGATTGCTGCAGGTTTAATCAAATTAGAGTTTACCTGTGGATAGATTAGACATGTCAAATGAATGAATTTGAATGGTGAAAAATATTTCACTTTCAAATAAGAGATTATTGAGTTCCAAAAAGGACTCAAGTCGCTTATAAAACATTTC